GCGGGCGAGAGCAATGAGTCCGGTAGAGTCGGGGTGTTTTCACCTGACGCAATGCTCTCCTGACTCAAATCATCCGAGTGTCCATCTATTCTGCTTGGGGGTGAACGCGCATCGAATTTTGGTGAGGCGTGTGCCGGTAGGTCGGTCATTGCGACGGCGGAGGCGGGGTAGTCGGAAGGTGTGACGTGTGAAGCTCGCTGCAGGTGCTCTAGTATGCAGGGGTAGGAATTGAATAGTGCGGAAGCATCGATCTGACGGAAATATAGGGCAAATTCTGTTAAATGGAAAGTTTTAATTGCGAAGTAGACAATGCTCCGGCTATGCTCCCTCGGCATGAGGAGAAGCAGGCTGAGTCATCGCTTTGATACCGCTTACTCTAGCACATTCTCTCGGGCCTTGGTCCACCCAGGATAGGAGAATTGTGTTCGCCAAGAGCTTATGACATATCTCAGACTTGTTTGACCTAGAATTACACTATTCTATGAAATGCATGGCTTTTTAGTGGCCAAGAGTCAAGCATTGAATATTGTCCTCCCGACTCGAAGCCGACATCGGGGAAGGAAGGGATAAACAATAACGGCAATTAATCACGCCACCAGTATATATATCAACGACATAGGTACATCCATCATCAATGCCCTGGCCATTTTCAAAACATGGCCATATCTCATATCATGCGTGTCAGTGTCGTAAATGTTCGTCGAGAGTGAAATGTAGTATGTGCCATCAATATCCGCTCGATGAGGGGGCAATCGGCATTATCCCGACCGAGAAGAAGCTGGATTGCATCGCCGTTGGGGGTAATAGCGTCAGATTGGTGTTTCTGCAACATGATGGGAATGACATGGCTTGAATCATTGTTGTTATACCAAACCTTTTTTATTGTAGACATCTGGCACTGCTCTGCTCAGCCTCAGCCTCTGCGCGTAGAATCTCTAAAAACAGAATTATCATAATTTCAAAAAAGAGTTTGTTCTCTAGCTAAAGTATCTACCTAGTCAACATGAAAGCCCCATATCCATGGTAGGCATTCGAACTCCAAATAGCGCCGCGCTTAAATGGTATCATCATCACATCAGATCGTAGAAACAGTTTGGTTTACTTGCCCAAAATATCCAGCACAAATCGCCGGTCAACCTCCATCTCTTTGTCGTCCTCTTCGCCCTCAAATTTGAGGCGATAGACATCCTTCCTGGCACCCATCACTTCCGCGCGATAGAAAGTGGTGGTGTCCGGATATCGCGCGAGGACCTGCTTGCCAGCCGGATATGTAGACAAGTGGGCGCTGAGCTGGGGAATGGGAATGAGAGAGGCAGCGGTAGTCTTGTAAACCGCCCCCTGCTCACCATTCTCATTCGGCTCGGGGTCCTGCACATCATATCTGAATCAGACATGACGCGTCAGTCAACGTAAATCGAGACGAGACGTAAACGACCTAACATCACTTACCGTTTCTTTGGTCCGTCGCCATTAACAGCCTTGATTATGCATTGGATCCCCTCACCCTCGACCCCTTGTTTATTCTTGTTGTGTTTGAAGACAACCTGAGCCCCAACCACCAGCAAGCCACTCCGTTCCGCGACAGTGCCCTTCGTCCCTTCCGACGGCCCTTCTTCGATCTTGACCATGATATTATCCTGACGCCCCCCTTCGCGGGCTTGTGTGCTTGACGAGACGCTTGCGCTGCGTGGGACGATCCCCTTTGAGCGTGCGGTCTTGTCAGCCCCCGAGGCACTGGGGGAGTCGGTTACCGAACCTTCGAGTTCATTTCTTTTCTTGCGTGACTTGTTGAATGATGTGGACCGATGTGGAGGCGCTTCGGCTTCAGATGCTTTGCGCAGTGCAGTGAGCAGTTCTAGGTTTTTGATTACATCGCATGGCTCGTCTTGCATGATCGCGCGCTCGTCTTCGCTGAGTTTCTGGCTTAGACGGAGCCAGCTGTCGAGTTGGTCGTGTTCGGCCATAGTTGGTTCTGCTTGGAAGCGCAATATTAGTATAACCGATTAATAATGAACTTGGGGTTGTTCGGATTGATTGTGAGCGAAGCGCATATTGGAGCTTTGCGGTATAGAGCCGAGGGATCTAGTGCGGGGGGTACTCACGGTTGCCATTATGGGCGATCTTGTCCACCAAAGCTCTAATCTGCTGGGATAATGAATTTTGTTGATCGAACTTCTCTTTAGATTTTCGGATATCCTGGCAGATCTTGGTCCAGAGCTCCAATTCCTCATTATTGCCAAATCCGTTGTCTCTGGGTCGGGGGCGGTTGCGAGACATCCTCGGACCGTTTATCAATGGGGTAGTGTAAAGAATGTGCAAAGAGTATGAACAGCTTACTGCCGACCAGAACCACTGTGGTATTGATATCTCCTTGAAGCAACAAGTTGTTTACTTGAAGGTTGGAGATGCGGTGATAAGGGCCCCGTTCCCCCGGGCGGTCGGGGTTGACACGCTAACTACTTTGGGACATGGCATTGTATGTGTCGGCGTCGACAGTTGTATAGTGTACTGCTTGTCTTCTTTAGGGCGTATGTAATTAATTATGGGACACTTTGACCTTGAACCTATTCGAGCTACACTCTCGATGCGGCTGTAGATTTTGGCTTTAATTGGCAGTCTGCTTGCGGAAGTACTACCTCATTAGGAATCTATGACAGATTAGGATACCACTCCGTAAATCCCATAAACAAAAAGCCGGGAATGCCTCTGAGTGAAACCAGACCAATTCTCCTTTTCAAGCTCTGGACGTGTGCTATAGATATCATTCGGGACCCTCTCTGACAACTCTCACCGAAGGCTTGGCGTGGAATTTCTAATACAAGATCGCTGGTTGACCCCCGCCTTTCCCCCCAAACATCCATTTCAATATGCAGATACCACTACTTCGGCTGCAATGCGGTAAGTTTTGGGATGCTCAATAAGAGAGACATAGCTGACATACTTTCCTTTAGGCGTCAATAGCTACGACTGGGGTAAGCTAGTCTCGCTTGCGATTGTGTTCCCCGCACTAATATCCCGTCATAGGCAAGGTTGGCCAAGAGTCAGCAGCGGCCAAGTATGCGGCCACAACAGCCGCCCCGGACTTTACAATTGAGTCTGACAAGCCCTATGCAGAAGTAAGTCGGAGATCAAGAGTAATATTTGACGTAATGGGCTCACGATTTATAGCTCTGGATGGGCACACACCCCTCTCTTCCATCGAAAGATGTCGAGACACAGCGTACCCTTCTCGACATGGTTCAGGATAACCAGGCCCTGCTGTCGACCGATGTGAGTGAACGATTTGGAGGCAAACTCCCGTTCCTGTTCAAGGTGCTTTCTATCCGTAAAGCGCTCAGCATCCAAGCCCATCCCAACAAGAAGCTCGCGGAGCAGCTCCATGCCCGAGACCCAAAGAACTATCCCGGTGAGTGGTACTTGGGATCACACTCGATACACGAGCACCCGGAAACATGGCTAACCGCTTGCAAGATGACAATCACAAGCCCGAGATGACCATTGCCATCACTCCGTTCGAGGGTATGTGTGGCTTCCGCCCGCTCGCCGAGATCACACATTTCCTCCAAGCTGTAGAGCCTCTGCGCACCCTAGTTGGCAATCAAGCGGCGAGGGAGTTCGAGCAAATCATCAAGGGCAACGAAAACTCAGAGGAACCTGCTGTCATCCGAAAGAACAAAGAAGCGCTACGCTCCCTCTTCACCACGCTGATGGAGTCTTCATCCGAAAAGATAGAGATAGCATGCAAGAACCTTATCTCGGCCGCGGACAATAGCCCCGACAGTTTTGCAACCCTGGCAGGTGATGTGGAGACGAACCCTACCAACCCCGCTGAGCTGGCTGCGCTTGCCAAGCGCTTGAACGGACAGTTCCCGAACGACATCGGCCTGTTCGTATTCTTCTTCCTCAACTTTGTCAAGCTGCAGCCTGGCGAGGGTATGTTCCTGAAGGCAGATGACATCCATGCGTATATTTCCGGTGATGTCATCGAGTGCATGGCTTCCTCCGACAACGTGGTGCGAGCGGGTTTCACCCCGAAGTTTAAGGACGTTGACACCCTCACCCAGATGCTGACCTACTCCTACGCACCAATCGAGGAGCAGAAGATCCAGGCCACAGACTACCCGTATGTCATTTTGAACGCCACTGCTTACTCTAGCGCCTCGTCCGTGATGCTCTACGACCCTCCTATCGACGAGTTCAGTGTTATCAAGACCGACTTGAATCGAACTGGCGCCAAGGCCACTTTTGACCCGATCGACGGCCCCAGTATCTTCATTTGCACACGTGGCAAGGGCAAGATTACTGTTAGCAACAAGACCGAGGAGGTCAAGGAGGGCTATGTTTTCTTCGTCGGCGCTACTGCTGAGTGTATGATTGAGAACACTGGCAGCGGTGAGGGCGATGATGATGTCTTTACGACCTACAAGGCGTTCTGTGAATTGACCCCGACCGGTGAGGAAAATTAGGTCAGCGGTAACTAAATTGTTATATTCTAATCTGTTGTGTCAAGATGGAACACCCCGTTCTGGGATCGGCGCAAACCTGTGAAGTGGCATGAGGGATAGGGATGACTTTGTGGTATGAAATACAAAACCACAAGATTACAAGCCATGCTGCTAAAATCTCGAATTGACCACATGGGTGATTTAAATGAGCCTTAGATTTACTACACCTAAGCCAATCTAATAATATGCCGACAGGCGCCAGAAATTCATACGGTAGACCAGGCACGTGATCTGTCATCCGTAAATTTGAACATATTGTTTAGTTTCTCATCATTGGCACTTGTGTATGAGTGCCGTTTTACGGTTGCATGACGGCGAGAAAGACGAGTGCGCTATGGTGAGAATCAAGGTGAGAATCACCCAAGTTGCGCGACCACCGCACTGACCTCTTTAGCTTCCTATCTACTACATTCAACCCCCTGGCGTCTGCACGCCGCTGATTTTGATTGCCACTTCTACAAGTTGTACGTCTCCTAATTGCCCGGTACCGTCAAAATGCCAATCTACTTCTGGCACTATTACTCGACTGTATGTGCGGCCTGGAAGCTCTTTTTTGAAGGCGCACTTGGTGTCTTGTCTGGTATATTTCCGCTCTTTATCAGATCCTATCCTCATCAGTCCAATGACACAGTCGGCGGAACATCGAACTACACCTATACCATACGGCCGCTATTTCAGTCTGATCTGAAAATACTAGGCATAGGAGCTTCCGGCCAAGTCTACGAGGTTGACGATGACATTGTCCTCAAGAGCTGTCGCGTTTTCGAACAACCCGGGAGCGACGCCTCTGACAGCAACCGATACCACTACGCCTCAGATACCATCTTCCACTCTAGCTTGTTACAGGATGAGCGAGCCGTTCTACGACTGTTTCAGCAGTGGCCCCATCCAAATATCATCGAAGCTATCGACACTGATCAAGCAGAGGGGGTATTTCTTCGCAGATATTCTCCGTTACCGGGAGGTGAGATACCTACACAGCCTACCAGAATTCGGTGGTATCGTGAGATCACCACTGCTCTTTGTCATATTCATAAGCTTGGAATTGTTCATGCTGATATACGGATTGACAATATCCTCTTTGATAATCGGGGCTCTGCTATTCTTTGTGATTTCAGTGCTGCTAGTCCGTTTGGTCAACCAAATCTAGTTATCTCAGATCTACCGCTTCCGGTCAACGGCCCTTCGCCAAATCTGTCCGAGGTAACTGATCTCTTTGCAATGGGCTCTCTACTATTTCAACTAGAGCATGGCTTCAAACCCGAGTTTTCTATGAATACAGATGGGGAATTGAAATTGCCTGAGATACAGACCAATAATCAAGGAATCGAGGCAATTATTCGAAAAGCTTGGCTTGGACAGTACAGTCGCGCCTCGGAGATGTTAGAGAATCTTGATTCATTCCACACTCCGATTAGCCAAGGTTTTCATGATACCCAAGCACACTCAATTGCCTTATTGAAAGAGCGGATTAGGGCTTGGAGAGAAAGACGCGAAATCCATACTGGTAAGAAATTGATGTTTATACCCATTTCTTCACGACTAAAATTATCTATAGGCTCTGTCCTCGATGGCATACTCTCAGAAGAGCAGCTACAAGTACTAGCTGATTGTTATGGCCTGGATAAAGATGCTGAATCACGTTTTATTGGCTATGATGTGCCTTTGCAGCTAAATGAGTGAATATAAACTCCAGGGAGCCAATGACCGCATTTCTAGTCTTTGAAGCCTAATTCTAATTATTGTCAGATTGATAAAAATGTGGCCGGTTGGCAGAATATTATATAATGTAGGGGGTTGAGGCGGCGTGCAATACTTATGTCAAGTCACTTTCCAATAAGATTCAAACACAGGCGGCATAAAGACCAAAGCTGTGGTCCCTTCTCTTCGAATCTTACATATATTTTGTTATGGGTCTTGCAGCCCTTTACACTTTTGCTTTAGTGGTCCAAGATCAGTGGTTATGTGCCTGAGTGTCTACCTACGACCAGATCAACAACACGACCCTCTTTTCTTCGAGACATATCAACGTCCGGGCTCCACACCCAAATCTCACACTACACCATAGCGCTAGAAACAAATCGCTGGCCCATGCTATGGAATTAGACAAAACAGCGGCATCCCCTCACAACTCCGAAGAAGTGCGTGAGATTATCCGTGTCGCTTCATACCATCGGCGTGACTTCGATCTAGCGGTTGCTAGAACAAATCCCCACAACCATCCCCAGCTACGCAGTTCGCTGCTTCGAACAATCCGCATTACTTCCTCAAGTCTTGGAGATCTTCAATCTTTACCGATTGAGATTATCTACGAGGTATGCTGCCTTCTTGATATTCGGTCTTTGCTCAATTTTCGTCATGTCAATCGCCGTGCCCAACAAATCGTTAGAGGAACCAGTGGCTACGAATTAGCGATCACTCATGCCCTTGAGGCCCTCTGCGTTATTATTAGAACTAACATCGCGTCTTGGTTCACGTTATCTGACTTAGTCAAAATACTCCGTACGAGGGACTGTCATATCTGCGGCTCCTTTGGTGGCTTTCTTTTTCTTCCTTCGTTTATGAGGTGTTGTTTTTCTTGTATTCAAGAAAATTCTCTTCCATCTGTCGTGCCATATTCTGCTGTGAGCAAGCGCGTCCAAATGAGCTTAGTGCCTACCGTGAAGTCATTATCGGGAGTATATTCAATGGGTGAAATTTTGCGGAAAAGGAGAACTCAGATTGTGCCGACAGAAGTTGTTAGAAAGTTATCCCTATGTGAAGATGACGAGATAACGCGAGTGATACAGTCGAAGGGAACGGCGCTGCTACGTTATATGGTGACTACCTCTTTGCCCTATCTTGATATTGAAAGCCGTGGCATTCAGAATGGGATCTGCTGCAGTGGCTGTCAAATTGCCTTGGAAAAGGCTCTGAGGTCATCACGGGTTCAGTCTAATGCTTGTGCTCTACGGGACAAAGTTTACTCCTATGCCGAGTTCATGGAACACTTTCGGGAATGTCGAGAAGCTCAAAACCTATGGAAATTGAGGAACCAAGGGGTTGATATCACTCACCTCTCGGAATTTGTTAGGCGTGGAGGTTGCTTCAAGAAAAGGGATGCTATTCTGTCCTCCAAAAGAAAATAGGGCAAAGAGAAGGGAAGAAGGGAAGAAGGAGAAGCATTGAATCTGTACAAACAAACAGCTAGCTGACTGAATAGTTAGCTGGGTAGAAGCCCGGCAGACCAGGTACCATGGCAGGGGATCTGTCTCAACAATATATACATTCACGTCGATCTTATAGTATCTTCAACGTGCACAGCCTTTTCAATTTCTTCTTGCTTCGGCTCATATTCAAGTGTTATCTCTTCATCCTTGAATTTCTCCGCCCCCATATTCCAAGCCAGCTTAACACCCTTGAACGCATCTTCAACTTCCTCTAGTGTCCTCCCCGATGTCTCAGGGAAAACGAAGAAGACATGCAGGGTCATAGCGAAGGCGAACACGGCAAAAATGATATAGGTCTTCCAAGTGATGTTGACGAAAGCAGGTGGAATGAAATAGCTCAGAGCGAAATTGAATGCCCAATTGCTAGCAGTGGACAAGGCAGCGGCCTTGCCTCGCAGACGGAGGGGGAAAAGCTCCGACGGATACACCCACTCAATAGGGCCCCATGTTGGCGCGAAAGAGGCCACAATGAGATAGGAGCAAGCAATCACAACCTTGGCAGGAGCTCCTGTGATCAACCAACTCTCTTCGGGAATATTGTCCAAGCCACCTGGCGGGGCTGCGACACCATAGCCTCCCATTAGGCCTGCACATAGGGTCCACCAAATGAAGAGAGAGATACTGCCTCCTATGAGTAATGGACGACGCCCGACACGATCCATGAAGAGGAGTGCGGGGATTGTCATAATCACGTTGATCACGGAGCTGATGGATGAAGCCACCAAGTTGGAGCTGCCACTGAGACCTGTCATTCCGAAGATATATGTAATGTCTAAAGATGTTAGTGATAATTCCACTACACTGGACAGGGGGGAGCTCACAATAGAGAATGGCGTTGATTCCAGTGAGTTGACACCAGATCTGGACGAAGACGACGATGTGCGTGCGCCAAAGCATATGCGGCCGGAAAAGATCGATGTAACTGTTGTCGGTCCTGTCGCGCTCCAATTCACAGGCATCTTTGAGCTGTTGGATCTCCATCTGGATAAAGTTCTCGTCGAGGTTGTTGTTGGCATGGATAGAAGAGATAATGTGACAACATTCCTCCCAGCGATCTTTCTTTGCCAACCATCGTGGAGACTCGGGGGTAAACAATAACCCTATGAAGAGGAAAATTGCAGGGATCATCTGAAGACCCCAAGGCAGCCGGAAAGCCAAAGGACCTGTGAGGAAGGACGAGCCGTAGGAGATATAGAACATGATCAAAACACCCCATGTGATGGCCCATTGCTGGGCACCCATTACCAAACCTCTGAGATGGGGAGGCGCGAGCTCTCCAACATACACAGGAACTTGGGCTGAGCAAATTCCAACGCACAAACCGTTGACGAATCGACCAACGATTAACATAGGGATGTTCTGGGCGGCGCAACAGAGGGTACTTCCGATAATCCTGGTCGTGGATCACGTCAGCTACTTTCAGTTCAGCTCAGCTCATTGAAGCATAACTAACCATATGATAGCCCCCAATTGAATCGCCGACTTTCGGCCGAAGATATCAGTCACGAAGCCCGAGATCAATGCCCCGATGAAAGAACCTCCGGACATGGAGGCGGTGATCCCACCTTGCAGGTTAGAACCTGGGCCGGAACAGTGAGACTCATCATTGAATGGAGGTCCATTAGGTCCCTCATTGAAATAGCATCGGTATTGTTTGGTAGAAAGGCTGCATTGATTAGAAAACGCTTGTTTCCTCCGAAGATAACTCTCACATGGCAGACATCGAAGACAGATCGAAGCCGAAGAGCGAGCCTCCGATCACAGCGATGACTGTGATCACATAAATATTGGTAATCATCATTGTAGCGAAGGACACGGAGTGTCGTAGTGATGAAAAGATGTCAAGAATAGTCGGACATCTGTAGACTATATATCTTCCATAAGAGAATAAATTCGCACTATAGCATTACGGCCTATACAACTAAATTGGGTTAAGTTCGCCCCGCTTAATCTACCTTTAGCCGTCTACTGCCTTTCTATAGCATGAGGCACCTTTGTTCACGAATCGCGGGGCCCCAGGAATGCAGAGCCCAGGAATGCGGGGCCCCAGGAATCGTAATCAAGTTTGAGAAAGCCACGACAAGTGGCCCCACTCGATGACCTATGGGCGTTTTATTATCTGGGGTTTCCCTCGTATATTGCTCACTTAGTAGATCATTTACCCCATGGGGTTTGCCCGGTCCATTATCGTCGGCGTGCCTCGGCGTGGGAATATACTTTAGGGAACTTTGTCCCGACGGAGACCATACACGGCTGCCCGAGTCACTGCATAGCTAATATGACATCAAAGAGTATCGCACGCTGCTTTCAACCATCTAAAACCACACCGGGAAAGAGATCTCGTTTACAGCTGGCACAAGAACTGTCCGTTTGCGGGACGGTTTTCTGACTCGGCAAGATTGTACATGTTTCGAGTTGCCCAGCCCCTTGTTCTACCGGTAGCGAATGAAATCCTCGCTGGCTATAGATGGCTTTAGCTAGAGCTAGCCCGCTATCCGTGAGAGGTGATGGGCCCATCACATGCGAGATTTCTAGAGCGTCTTCACTCCAACGTCTCCATCTTTAGCCGCCAACCTTATTCCGTCCTTTTCGCTCATTCTGTCCTCCCAGTGAAGGTTTGCCTTGCTTGTTATCTCCTCTTTTTCAAGTCGAGTTTTGAATTGCATGCTGATTCCATCCAATGAAAGGTCATCGCAGGTCGCTGAAGAGGACTCTTTTGCCAACAAGAGGTCAAAGTGTCTGTCCCGGTCGGGTAAATTAGCACAGAGGATTTTCATTTCAAGATTGTAATTGGAGTTTCTTCCGCTCAAGGCCTTATTCAAGGGGTGACGACAACACCGTTATCCCCGACTATAAAGCTTTTGATTTTAAGCCGCCTTAAAACTTAATCCTTACCATAGTCGCTCACTTGTTTCATTATCAGTATGGCTTATAGTATATATTTGCGCCTTCGGTGTTACTAGCTGGTTATTTCAAGAAAAGAGTCATCCAATTCAAAACCAAGTACAGAGTATAGCAGGGAGAAGGGGAAAAGGAGGAGAAGGAATAGTGGAGACGACTGTATTTGTGGGGTTCACTCAACTTAGTCGGTGTGAATCGGCAGAATCCTCTTTATAACGTCACTGCTAAGACTGCATTTAGTCTCGAAAGGCCGAGTGCTCTTCACATCGTCATTAAGAAAACCATGATAACTATCATGCCACATTCATCAATTACAAACGTGAGGATATATTATGGGTTAAACCCGCGGGTAGACGGGTTAGACCCGACCCGTTCCTTGGCGGGTTTTTGGGTCCGGGGTTGATAAACAATGCAAACATGATATCCACTTACTTCTATGTTGGATATTTGAACCAAAAATGGCTGATCGAGAATATAGATTTCCTAGCTAATGGGGCAGGTGGTTTGAAATAAAACCGCCTTCAAGTTCCATCATATGGCATAGGTTTCAGCACCTATCAGATGGGGAGGAAG